CGTGACCAGCAACGGATCGCAACCCTCAGTGTCGCACCCGTACCGGACCGGGACCGGCAACGGAATCGCAACCCTCGGTGTTGCGCCCGCCCCTTGCTCAGCCAGTGAGCGGCCGGTCTGTATGTGGGATCCGAACCCTCGGCGGGAGCGTCGCCACACTCCCAAGCGGCGCACTGTAGTAGTGCGCCACCGGGCCGGCCCCTTAAGAAATTTTTTGAAAATACTTTTTCCACCATTTAAATTTTGTTCAGTGGGAGGGTTGCTCAGATAATCTTCCTGCAGTATTCCCAGAAATGGAAAACAGCCTTTTTTCCTATGAAGTTTTTTGTTCCCTTTCCTTTACATTTTTCTTTACAATATAATAAATATATTTGTGTGTTATTCTTTTGTGTTACTCTTTTGTGTTACATTGCAATGAGTAGCCTTATACAAATTATAAAAGAAGCCTATACATGAAGCTTTTGCTGTAGTTAAGATTATTCCCTTAGAATAGATTTTCCAAAATAGAATTCTCACCACTTGGCTCACTTGGGAGAGTGTGGTGCTGATAACACCAAGGTCAAGGGTTTGGATCCCTGTACCAGCCAGCCACACACACACACACACAAAAAACACAAGTAGAGTCAGGACATTTTTAAGGATCTCAATACGTATTAGTTTTTCCACATAACCATACATCTTCGCATTTGTCACCTAGCAGTACACAAAGCACTTCCTCAGTCATTCTGCAGCGATGCAGACCCATTGGGTACGTGGGCCATGGTATATTGAACTGTCCCTGATGGACACTTCAGTTGTTTCCAGTCATTTGCTTTAACAGCCAGTGCTGCCATTAGTAGCCTTGGACAGCCCACCTCTCACATGTGTGACAGCTTCTTGGGATGAATTCCCAGAAGTAGGATCCCTGGGTGTAAGGATAAGCCTGTCAGCAATTTGGATGAAAACTGCCAGATGGCCCTTCTGAAGATGTACCAATCAGATGCTCTCCAGCACTGCAGGAGAGAGTGTGGGGGGAGAAGTCCACCCATCCAGAACAGAGGGGAGCCCCAGGGGTCTGTGGGAGTGGGGCTTCTGCTACCCAGGGCCCGAATGTTGGGCAAGGGGAAAGGTGGATGGGTGGGTGGGTCAGCTGTCCTTCCTTGCTCTCCAGGGTGATGCTGACAGGGACACTGTCTGACCGGCAGCCAGCCGAACTCCACCTTTTCCGGAATTATGATGCTCCAGAGTCTGTACGGGAGCCTCGTTTCAGCCAGAATATTAACCTAAAGCCTCCAACTCAGCCCTCAGGTTAAAACCATTTTTGATGCATCCATGGGAAGTGATTGATCTGAGTGATTGGGATGGTGGGTGGGAGTCATAGGCCTGCCATCAGCCACCCTTGCCCCACCAGCAGCCCACCCACTACCCTGGTCTTCACTGGCTAAGGACAATGCATTGCTGGGGGGGTGGCAGACCTCGGGCAGGTGAGAGGAGGCTGCAGGAGGTCCTTAGCCGCACCCTGTCTTCCACCAGGACTGCTGGGCCTGACAGCATGATGGCCTTGTGGGTCTTGCTTCTGAAGAGTTCCCAGCCTCCCCCTCTCCCCACACCTCTTTGTGCCCACACCCATGCATGCCTGAGATCTGAAGTGCACAGGTTCTATACCTGTCCCTTGCACCCTGGGCCACCCTACTCTCCCTCCCCTAGACCAGCTGGTATGGCGGGCAGCCCGAAGCAGTGGGGCAGCCCCCACCTACTTCCGTCCCAACGGGCGCTTCCTGGATGGTGGGCTGCTGGCCAACAACCCCACACTGGACGCCATGACCGAGATCCATGAGTACAACCAGGACATGATCCGCAAGGTGAGAGCCATCTCAGGGCAGAGGGCTGGACGTGACCACCCACTGCAGACACCTGTTTCAGCGAACCTTGTCAAGAATCAACTCCCACAAGAGCAAATGGCTTTCATCCACGCACCCGTCTGTGAACTCAACAGCAGTTTTTTTCTCACACTTGAACCTATTTCACTGGTGTCGACCTGAGCACTGTGCTAAGATGGACTCTGAGGCCCAGTCTGCACGAGGTGATAAAGAGTGTTATGATCAACGAACAGCGTCTGCTGTTAGTGGGGAGGGCAGCCTGCATACTGCACACAGGCCACTCTGTGCCCAACCTGGGGACACAACGCTTGCCCTTGAGGAGTTCACATCTGGTGGGGAGATAGTCCATGGTCAGGGACACGTCCCTCAAAGTGTTTCAGGTGCTGCAATAGAGGACTGTGTGGGGGCCCAGGAGGTGGATCACCTTTGCTTAGAGGCCTGGGGGCTCGGAAGAGGCTCCACGGAGGAAGGGACCCCATCCTGAGTCCTTTGGGGACAGAGCAGTACAGAATTCCTGAGCTGGAGGAAGAGGAGCGGCCCTCACCTGAGGAGTTAGAGCAGAGGGGGTCAAGGCCAGCATGCAGGGGTTGGAGTGGTGGTGCAGTGAGCTTGGGCCCTGCAGCAGGCGCCTCTGGGCTGGGGGTCCCTGTTCTGCCCAGCTTCACTTAGCTGTGGGTGGGGATCATGCTAGTCCCTGCCTGGGGAATTTCGGGAGGATTCTGTCCACTGTTACCTGCAAAATGTTTAGAGCAGCACCTGACCTAGAGTGTGTGCCCTGTCCTTGCTGGCTGTGGTTATCAGGAAGCCCCAGGGCAGCCCCAGCCCTACTTCCCCACCCTGTGGCCTGGGCAAGCCTCTGTCCCTGCCCGAGCCTCGCCGAGAGTCCACATTTGTGTAGTGGGGTGATCGATGCCCTCTGCACAGACTGGTTGGAGGATTAAAAAAGATAATGATGCGATAATTAAAGAGATAATGACACAAATGGCAGAACTGAGGGATGTCCCTCCCTTTCCTTCCCTGGCCACTACCTTGACTTTGACCAGCAGCAGATGGGGTGTGCGGGTGTATGTGGAGTCTTGTTGGTATGCAGGTTGCTTTCCCAAGCAGATGGCATGTGACGCCCACACCAGACCTTCTGGGGGGAGGGGCTGCAGTTGAGTCCACAGCGAGATCCCCGGCCTGCCAGGGGCTGGGATTAGTGCTCAGGTGTGCTTTTGTCACCAGAGGCCTCTGTCCCTATCCTCATAGCACGTGCTCCCAGAGCCCAAACCTGGGCCTCTCTTTGACTCTCCCCAAGTGCCCCACACCCATGGGAAGGTCCATGACCAGAGGAAGTCCCCTCTGACTACTCCTGTCTGTTCCCAACAGGGTCAGGGCAACAAGGTGAAGAAACTCTCCATCGTTGTCTCTCTGGGAACAGGGAGGTCCCCACAGGTCCCTGTGACCTGTGTGGATGTCTTCCGTCCCAGCAACCCCTGGGAACTGGCCAAGACTGTATTTGGGGCCAAGGAACTGGGCAAGATGGTGGTGGACTGTGTGAGTAGGGCCCTCCCTTGCGGTCCCCAGCCCAGGTTGATGCCTTCACCCTCTCCCCGTGTGGCCTTTGGTGTCGGGGAGATGACAGGGCTCATCTATCTTCTTTAGCCAACTGGGGGAAGAAAGTCCCTGATTCAGCCTCAGTGCTGGGCAGGGACCCTCCATGGCCACCCACAGTGGGGTTTTCAAAGTTTTTTTAGCTGTGGATCCCTTTCTGCAGCACAGCCCGGTGTGGAAGCCCAGAATGTGAGATGGAGGAAAACTGTGGGGGAAGGGGACGAGGCCTGTCCACTCAGCTGCTGCCCCCGCTGCCACTTACCAGCCTTGGACAGGCTCTGCTGTGCTGTGTGTGACAACCACAGCCTTCTGCCCCTCTGATTGCACAGCTGGGACTGTCACTGCAGCCCGAGGAGGGGGACTTGCCCAAAGTCACTCTCCTGATTGGCAGCTAAGCCCCAATAGGACCTGGGGATTCCCAGGTGGGGACTCTGGGACAAGGGGGCAGTGCCGGGTGGGTGTGGGCCGGGTGCTCACTGAGTCTGCTTCTCTCTAGTGCACAGATCCGGATGGGCGGGCCGTGGACCGGGCCCAGGCCTGGTGCGAGATGGTCGGCATCCAGTACTTCAGGTGAGGGCTCAGCTGGCCTGGTCACAACCTGCCACAACCTGCCCCTACTCAGACCTTGACATCAACTTTGCCTTTCCCCAAGAAGCTGCTCTGTTTCCCAAGCCTACCCCAGTCCTAGCTCTTGTCCCCGACCTCAGCCAAGTGTCCTGGGGTGACCCATCCTCCTTGGCCTGGACAGATTGAACCCCCAGCTGGGGACAGACATCATGCTGGACGAGGTCAGCGACACAGTGCTGGTTAATGCCCTTTGGGAGACCGAGGTCTACATCTACGAGCATCGGGACCAGTTCCAGAAGCTTACCCAGCTGCTGCTCTCTCCATGAGGCCACCAGGGCCCCAGCCACCCCCACCCCACTGCACCCCCCCAGTCCCTGCTGGGGAGGCCATGTGAGGCCCAACCACTGCACTACTGGGCAGAGCTGGGGTCTAGGCAGCTCTGCACTCGTAGCTGGACTGGGAGGCCTGAGTTTCCTGCCTGAGGCTGGTCCTGAAGGCCTGTATCCCCCAACCCCCACCATCTGACATTTTTTGTCATTCCGGGCTTAGAAAGCCTAGAGCCCCACTCGGCCCCTTTTCCTGACTGTGAAGGATGACTGACTCGACGGGACCCCTTGCCCATCAGCTCAAACACTAAGTGTGCCTGCACATGCCCCCAGCCTGGCCCCAGCCTCCAGTGAGCAAGCCACCCTCCCAGGTTCCTTAGTGGGTACAACACCCTTTGTCCCCTACCCTCTTCCCTGGGGGCTGGGCTAAGGAAACAGGCACCCCCCCACCCCACAGCAGGGAAACCCAGGCTCCAGGAGCAGGAGGCCTCATTCAACTTTGCCCCTACATGCATGCCTTGCCACCCCGCCCCTTGGGGCCACCCCACCCTCTCAAAGGTCACCCCTTTGAGTTGTTATTCTTCCCGATGAAGCAGACTAACAGTGGGGATAGGCTGTTGGGGCTGCCCCAAAGCTGTGAAATAAATGGTTTGGATTCAAGTTCATCTGTGTTGTGTGCACTGAGGTGTGAGTGCCCCATACCCCGACCCCCAGCTCCGCTTGGCATTGACCTTCAGCCTTGACCTTGTCCTCTTCCTGTTCCCACTTGGACACTCTGTTTCCTAGGCTCCCTGGGACAGGGACACCTCCTGTCACCTCCAAGCCTGCCCGGGACAGGCCCACAGGGTGTCCAGGGGCAGGTGCCAGGCCCACCTGTCCCAGGCAGGCCTGTGGGGAGCCCTAATCCTCACCATAGGGACAAGGGAGAGCCCCTCCTGCGAACCAGAAAGGGCAGGGGACTTGGGCACAATCAAGCAGCAAGTGAGCAGGGCCAAGGCCTGCCCCCAGGTCTATGTGACTCCAGGGATTGTGTCGCCCCCTCTCCCATGTGTTGGGGGAGGATCTGCGCAGGCCTGAGGGGTTCAGGGCAAGGGCAAGGCCTGAGAACTGGCAGGAGGGCCCTGGAAGGGGCGCTGAGCAGCTCTAGCACAATAGGGTGGGCAATGTCCAGTCTAGGCAAGCGGGAGGGTGGGGCTCCCCCAGGACCAGGGGTCCCCAGCAGGCCTAGAAAGCCTTGCCTTGTGGAGGAGGTGACCTAGGAGAGTGGCCCTCCATGCGTGCCCACTGGCCCACGGCTCAGAGGGGTAAATAATTGAAGGGCAGGTCACACGAACCTGCCCGCGTCACAGGATGCCTTCCCCGCTGGGTCTGGTTACGCCCCAGATCGCGTTCTGACATCCCCGGCTGGTGAATAATTAAGCTGCCACCTCCTCCCAGGCAGGCCTCCATCTCCAGATCCCACTCTGCAGCCTCCACACTGCCCACTGAGAGGTGGGCACCAGCAGGTACTGACCCCAGTGCCGCCAGCCCTGCCATCACCAGCAGGTACCTGCTCAGCGCCCCCATGGCCCCCGAGATGGACCAGTTCTACAGGTCCACCATGGCCATCTACAAGGTGAGCGCGTGGCAGCCAGTCCAGCCGGAACACCTCCTCCCAGGGCATGGGATCAGGCAGCTCTGGAGCTTAGAGGGCAACCTGGGCTGCAGGTGTTCTGGAAAGGGAGGCCTGAGCACTAAGCTGTGGGTGTGGAGGTGGGGGTCCCTGGGAGCAGTCAGCCACACACTCCGTAGGATCCCAACTCCCAAACACTGGACCGCAGGACAGGGCCCAGGGCCGAGGGTGGTAAGAGATGGGAGCACAGATGGGAAGGAGCCACCTGGACTGGGAGTGGGGACTCTCTCTCTCTCTCATTTCTGAGCGCCGCACTCAGACTTCCTACTTCACCTCTGGAGTGATTGCTGCAGCCTCCATAGACATAAATTGAGCACCTCCTGTATGCAGGACCCTTTCACATGTAAGCCTCACATCACCCTGCCTGTGAAGTAAAAAATAATCACCCTGTTTGACAGATGAGAAAACTGATACCACAGAGGTTAAAAAGCTTGTTCAAGGTCACAAAGGGAGGAAGAGGTGCTGCTGGGATTTGACCCAAGACTCAAGTCTAAGTCCAAGTCCAGGGCTGTCTCCACCACCCAGGTTGCTTTCCACCTGGCCGTGGCCTGGGGCATCCCAAACTGACCCAGCCACACCCTCACTCCCAGGGTGCTCTTCTTTGAGGAGGGCAAGATCTGCCTTTGCCCCTGAGGTGACAGTTGGCAGCCCTATGTGTCTAGCCCAGTGGGGCCTGGACACAGGGTAGGGCCAAGCTGTGCCCAGCGGGGCCATGGCAGATGGTCAGCCTTCAGCCCAGGGCGAGGAGGGGAACCTTCGAGGTGTGCTATCTTGGCAGGGCCTGAGTTCCCCCTGAGCAGGTGTGTGAGCAGGAGCTGGCTTGGAACAGGGCCCCAAAAGATGGCCTCGGAGGCTCCTGAAGCAGAGAGCCAGCATGCTGGGTAGCCCTCAGTTTCTAAGTGGGGCTGGGGATGCCCCACCCCTGAGGCCCGTGACACGCCTCTTCATCCTTCCTCCTTCCTCTCCCATGTCCCCCCTCTGTACCCTCGTGGTACAGAGCATCATGGAGCAGTTTAACCCCGCCCTGGAGAATCTTGTGTACCTGGGGAACAACTACCTCCGGGCCTTCCACGGTGAGTGCCTGGGCCACGGTGCCCACCCCCTTGGTCTCTACCACCCCCACACCCCAGGCCCTTCCATGCAACCACGGGGGCCCCCAACCATATTCTCTGCGCTCCACACCAGACACTCCGCTCATCCTCAGCCCTATGCCCTCTACCCACCACCCTCACTCTCACACCCCTGCGGCCAGAGATGCCTTACATGCCCCTGCCCACCTGTGCCCACCCATTCCAGTCCACACACTCACACGTGTCCCTGGATGCTCCTGAGATACAGCGGCAGGCCCTACAGGTCCCACCACTCCCCACACACACCCTGACAGCACACACACTTCCATGTGTCACCTCGATGCCGCTGCTGAACCCACCGCCATCCCCGGCCTCACTCCAGAGCTGGTTTTCCTCACCCCTAACTGGCCTCCCATCCACGCACACTACAGCTGGCCCTCACCACTGACTCAGTCCCTGTGCAGACCCACTGTGGCCACCTGTATTTCCCAACAGCACCCCTCCACCAGCACTAATCAACACCAAGCTGAGGGCTCCTCCATCCCTCCCTGCCTCTTTAGACCTCAGAGTCAAAGCCTGCTCCCCCCATGCCCCTCAGCCAGTGCCCCTGCCCCCAAGCCTCACAGCACACCTATCCACACCCTCTGCATGAGCACACAGACGCCTGCACCCCACCCCTGCCAGATGCACTCCGAGGCCCCCCGCTCAGTGCCAGACCTTGGGCTGGGTGTAGCTGCCCCTGTCCCATCCCCTGTTCTCCTCTGGCCAATACCTCATCTGTACACACCACCCAGGGCACTCCTTCTCCTCTCTCACACACATTCAAGGAGGCGTCCAGAAGGGTGGGGACAGATGGAGGGGCACTGGGCCTGGACTCATCCTTCTCGCCCTGCAGCTCTGTCTGAGGCAGCTGAGGTATACTTCAACGCCATCCAGAAGATTGGTGAGCAGGCCCTGCAGAGTTCCACCTCGCAGATTCTGGGTGAGGTGCTCCCCCTTCTTGGGCCTGGGGGGCACTCCGCCTAGCCCACTTCCACCCCAGCCTCCTCCTGCTGTCCGGGCTCTGGGACCCTCCGTGTGTTCCTGATGCCTCCCCTTGGCCCCGGAGCCTACCCTGGCCCACCATCCCAGGGTCCAGAGGCAATTCCTGTGGCACATGTGTCCTTCCAGGAAGTCCTCCTCCCCCAACACAGGCCTTGCAGCCCAGAGCCCAGACTGCCCTGGAGCCCAAGCCCCTTCCCACCAGCACCGCTGAGTCCCTGAGAGACATATGGGAAATTCCTGGATTTGGGTCCCTCTATTGGCTTCTGGCATGGAAGAGGGTGGGTGGGGCAGGCTCCTGGCACTGAAGCTGAAGTGCCCTCCATGCCTCCAGGGGAGATCTTGGTGCAGATGTCGGACACCCAGCGGCACTTGAACTCTGACCTGGAGGTGGTGGTGAGTATCAGACCCCAGGGCCTGGAGGGGTCACTCAAGGAAAGTGGGCTGCATTCCAAAGAGAAAGAGGGCCCATCTTCCCACATTCTCTTCTCAGGGAGGATTTCCTGGTCCCCACCTGGCCCTTAGCAACATGACAGCAATGGCTGCCTTTGAGCGCCCACTAGAGACAGGCTCTGTAATAGTTGTTCAAGCCCCCAGCAACCCTAGGATGCTGGTGGCATTTCTACCCATTTTACAGAGGAAGAAACTGAGTCTTGGAACTCTAGTCATTGCCTGAGATTCCAGAGTGAGTGGAGGATCTAGAAAGGCGCATTGCTCAGGTGCATCAATTACTGGTTTGGGACCTTGGACTCTGTGCCTCAGTTTACCTATCTGAAAAGTGGAGACAACCATAGTAACTTCCTTGTAGGATTCTCAAGAGGATGAAATGAATGAATAAGTATAAACTGTTTACCCTGGCACTTGTCAAGTCCCTGGGCACCTTACCAGGAGAACTAGAAGTAGACATCGCTTGCCTGTCCCTATCTCTACCAAGGTTGGGAGCTCCAAGAGGGCTGGGACGTGGTCTTCTTTTCTCTGAAGCTCCAGTGTCTGGGACAGCACCTGGCACCGAGCAAGGCTTCATTGACTGTGGAACGAAAGAATGAGATTTGAAAAGGGAGTGGGGCTTGTTTAGATGAGGAGGGGAAGAGAGGGCATCCCAAGAGGGCACGGCAATGAGCTGAGCAGATGTGATCCCTGGAAGTCAGGGTGCTCTTTGGGGGCTCCATAAATTACTGATCAGGTTGGTACGGGGAACAGTTTTACTAGCAGAAAATGTGCATCATGCCCACAGACGACAAAACCATGCCCGCAGGCCCCCTGGGCTCCGTAGACTCCACAGACACTTTGGGGTGTAGCACTAAGCCCCTGCCACCCCTTGGGCTTGGGTATGGAGTTATGGAGACTGTGGCTTCCTGTTATTGAGTTCAGTGGCTCTCCACGTCACCTGTGGCTCACAAGTGGCTCATGTCACTTGTGGCCATCACCCAGGCCTGCTCTGTAAGGAGAGCTTCCCTCCCCAGGCACTGGTGTCTTGGCTCTGACAATTGGGCAGGGCCCCCAGCCAGAACCATACCAGAGGTCGCCTCCACCTTGGGCTCATTCATTCAGTGACTATTTACTGCCCTGTGCCAGGCACTGTTGTAGGCACCAGAGATGCAGTAGACGTAAATCTCTGCCCTCCCAAAGACAGAGCCAGACAAAATCCACAATAAATAAGTGAATATATATGTAACATGTTAGATGTTAGATGCAAATATGCTATAGAGATAAACAGAGCAGGAATAGGAAGTGTTTGGGGATGCAATTTTTAACAGATGCTCAAGGAAAGCATCTCTAGAAAGGTGACAATGAGAAGGGCCTGGAGGAGATGAGGGAGCTAGCCAGGGAGACACCTGGGGGAGGGCGTCTGGGCAGAGGGATGGGTGCGTGGACATGTGGGGGAGGCTGCAGCGGGGGCAGTGAGGGCAAGTGTGAGAAGACAATTGGCCATTAGCAGGGCCCAATCGATCATGCCGGGCCCTCTTGGGACCCTGGCCATTTGTCTCAGTGAAAGGGCACCATTAGAACATTTGGAACAAAAGGGGAAAAGATCCGACTTAGATTTGGGTTGGGTGCTTTTGAAAAACCTTTTTTTTTTTTTTTTGTCTTTTTGTCTTTTTTACTGACCGGTAACGGGATCGCAACCCTCAGTGTCGCGCCTGTACCGGGGACCGGCAATGGGATCGCAACGCTCGGTGTTGCGCCCGCACCACGCTCAGCCAGTGAGCAGGAACCGGTCTCCACATGGGATCCGAACCCTCGGCAGGAGCGCCGCCATGCTCCCAAGCGGCGCACTCTCTAGTGCGCCACCGGGCCAGCCCTGAAAAACCTTTTTTATTGTAAGCTAAAACAGGAAATCTCACTGAACAAATTAGAGCCTAATGCATTATTATAAGGCAAAACAGCCTTGAAACTACCACCCAGATCAAGAACTTTGCCAGCGTCCCTGGAAGCCCCTCCATGTGGCCCCAACAAACTCACTGCCCCTCCCTCCCTTCAAAAGCAGCCACTGGTCTGAGCTGGCACTTCCTTGTGTTCCTTCATATTTTATCACCTGAGCATACCTCCTGAGACACTAGAATTTAGTTTTGCTCTTAAAAAAAAAAAAGAATACTTTTAACCCACCAGGTCTGTGTCCATCCATTTCTCTTCCCTGCACTTTGTTGAAGACCCTGGGGCATTTGACGTGGCTTTGGCTTGGTTTTTCCACAGTCTGGAAGGTGCTGACTGCACACTCCTGGTGTGGTTTGGCTGGTTCCTCTGTCCTCTGGATCCAGAGGCTTGATTGGACTCTGTTCCCTCCTATTGGTAAGATGAAAGCAGGTGCTGGGTTCTTCCACTGGGAGGCGCCAGTGTGTACAGATCCACTCGTGCATGGCTGCTCCTCTGATGCCCTTTCAGAAGCGTTGGTAATCGGAATACTTCAATAAAGAGGTGTGTTCCTTACTGCCGTTACCACTAGCTGGTTTCACATGCAAAAGGCGGGAGAAAGGCTTACATCATTCCCTTTACTCATCGATTTCAGGATAATGAATTTGCCTCTGTCATCCTCTGGAGGTGACCAATTAACTTCATTTCTTACTAGCACCATTATTGTAGTAGTTTTTATTATCACCAGTATCATAGATTTACACCCATTAGATGTATTTCAGGCCTTCGAGATTATTATCTTTGTTGAAGGTGAAAATGTTCCATCTTTGGCCAATGGAAGCCTCTTCAACCTCCTCCTGCGTCCTTCGGACGTGACCCTAGTCGTTTTGGCAGCTTCCTTGCTGTCTAGCATGACAAGGCGTTCCAGACTCATCTGCTACTTTTGCTGCTCGAGGCATGGAATCAGCCATTTCTCCACGAAGCCGTTTTTATTTTGAGTTTTCAGTGACAAGTAGTATTTCAAGACCACAATCTGGGCACTATTAGTCATTGTTTCTAGGCTCTTTCAGTGGCCAGTGCTATACATACATGCAAACACACTCATACACGTGCAAGGATATACAATGAAGCACTTCACAAGCACATACTGACACTACAGCGTTTTTACTTAACCTCATCTATATTACACTAGTATCTCCTTTGTTCCACACCAAGAATCCTGCTTCTCAAGGATGCAGAGGAGCCGAGCCCGTGGCGCACTCGGGAGAGTGCAGCGCTGGGAGTGCAGCAGCGCTCCGGCCGCGGGTTCGGATCCTATATAGGGATGACCGGTGCGCTCACAGTGCTCACTGGATGAGTGCGGTGCGGCCGGTCTCAAAAAGGACCAAAAAAAAAGAGGATGCAGAGATTGAACGGATGAGAATATGCCATAATTACCTATCGGCTTTATCTCACATTGTATACGCAACAGTCTCAGAATAGCAACACTAGTTCCACCACCGCCATGGGATTTATGGATGGGATTTCTGGAAGCAGGTAAAATTTGTTTTCCTCTGCTCTCCCTGTTCCCCCCCATGTGTAAAAACAGCTGTGCGCCGTCCACACCGTCAGAGCAGCCACCAGGCTCCACGCTCACGGCCTCCTGTCCGCATCCATCTCCCTTCCACAAGGGAGGGCCAGCCCTTGTGTCCTGTCTCTGCAGTCGTGCTGGTTATCTCAAGCTTGTTCTCTAACAGTCCCCACAGGAAGGGCTTGATCTGTACGCTTTATACAGTCGTCCCTCAGTATCCGTGGGCTTCAGTTCCCGGAACTCCCACGGATACCAAAATCCATGGGTCTCAAGTCCCTGATGTAAACTGGTGTATGTAGTATTCGCACATCCTCCCGTATGTTTTAATCATTTCTAGCTCACTTCTCATACCTAATGTAAATGCTATGTAATAGTTGTTAAACTGTATTGGTTTTTAATTTGTATTACTTTAATTGTTTTTTTTTAAATATTTTTGTTCAATCCGTGGTTGGTTAAATCCAGGGATGTGGAACCCATGGAGACGGAGGGCCAACTGCACTTGAAACAAATTTGCTGTAAATAAAATCTTTGTCTCATATGCCCTTCCTTCCTTCCATTTTTTCCTCCCTCCCTCCCTCCTTCCTTCCTTCCTTCCCTTCTCCCTTTTTCTCTTTCTTTTCTTTGTGTGCCTTAGTGTTTTTCTTCTGACATACAACATTGAACATTGCTGTTGAAAAGTCTGATTATTTTTTTCCCCATTCTAAGTCACTTGCTCTTTTGCCAAAAGATTTTTTTTTTCTTTTTCTTAATTCTAGTAATTTTTTCAGAGTATATCTTGGTATTGGTCAGTCTGGGTTGATATTCTCAGTTATGTGATGTTCTTTTTCCATACGTAGTTTCAAATCTTTTCTTTTTTTTTTTTCTTTAATTTCAAGAATGGTGTTTTTAGAATTTTTTTATTCCCTTTCTTTGCATTTCTTCTTCAGGGACTCCTATTACCTGTATGTTAGATCTTGGTAGCCTATCTTTAATATCTGTCTCTTCCTCTTGGATATTTTACTTTTTCTTTATTTCTGTTTGTCTCCACTTCCAGATATTATGATTTAATATCTAGAGCTGGGATGGATCCCATAAAAGGAGACCTATCATGGATATAGATATAGATATTAGCCTTTCTAATATCTGTCTCTTCCTCTTGGATATTTTACTTTTTCTTTATTTCTGTTTGTCTCCACTTCTAGATATTATGATTTAATATCTAGAGCTGGGATGGATCCCATAAAAGGAGACCTATCATGGATATAGATATAGATATTAGCCTTTCTGAGATTTTGTTTTGTTTTATTTGGTGGCCGGCCAGTTCAGGGATCTGAATCTTGACCTTGGTGTTATAACAGAACACTGTTCTTAATTTATTTTTAAGATCTTTGCTACTTTTTCCTTTATGTTTCTCTTAAAGCCTTATTTGTTGTGTTTATTTGTTTGTTTGTTTGTTTGTTTGTTTGTTCTTTTGGCTTTTTGTGGCTGGCTGGTT